CCCGCCACACCCTGATACCTGGGTTCTGTTTGGAATGTTCCGTTAGAATGTGTTCCACGTGGAATGTGGAACCTGACAGTTTAATACTCTGCCCACCTTCAGCACTTTTCCTTGAACCCTTTTCTTGCCTTTGTTTACTCTCTAGGATTATTGGAGACTGTCATGTATCTTCTCATGATTGTAAACTTTTTTTTTTAGAAAAGGGACTGTGAATAGAATAGTTACCTGTTGCCACAGGAATGCTGCATAGCACACCACAGGACTTCAGCGGCAGATAATAACTATTTGGAGCACACTGGAAGTGGTTCTGCTGATCTTGGCTGGCCTTGCTCTCATGTTTTGGGGGTGACTAGCTGTCCACTGATCGAGGCTGGCCCCAGCTGGGGGGACTTGGCCCTGTTCCACGTGCTGCTCATCCTGCATGAGGCTAGCCTGGACATGCCCTTCTCATGTGGCTGCAGAGGTGCAAGAGGGAACAAGGGAAACACACACATCCTCTTAAGGCTAGGCCCAAAATGAGCATAGCATCCCCTCCACCTCATTTTATTGGCCACAGCAAGTCAAGTTCAGATTCAAGGGTTGGGGAGATAAGACTACACCTCTTTGGGGAGAAGAACTGCAAACTCACAGGTTCAAGGGTGTGGGGCCATTAATGTAGTCAGTCTACCATAGACCTATGTGAGTTGTCTCTTATTTGTACTTAGGCTGATGTTTGCAAGTAGTGAATGCCTAATAAATAGATGTTCCATAAAAGTAGTAAAATTACCATTAGCTAGGTTTTCTAGTGAAGACTGGGTTGGTTGCATGATGTAGACGTTAGCAGGAATTTATTTGGTGGAAGGAAAGTTTATGTCATTCTAGTAGAATCTCAGTTTTTCTTGTACTGGGTACTGAGCAGCTTGGTTACCACTAAGAAATCCATCTTCTTGTCATCTTTTCTGTCATGGGTTCTACCACCATCATTTTCAGGATCTTCGAATATAAACGTCTGAAAGAAGAAGAACAAAGAGAGGGAGAACTTTTGCCACACATTAAAGCGCATCACTTGCTCCTAGAAGAGAAATCGTGTTCCATGTATTGAGCCCTGAGTGCATGGGAAAAAGGGAAAGGCAGTCTCTGTCCAGTGTCTTTAACCTTTGCTCTTTTCTCATCCCTTAGAGTAGCCCATGGAAAGAGGGGTGCAGGGGTCCAGCCACTGCATCTTCATCTGCTGGGAGCTTATTAGAAATGCAAATACTACCAGATCAGACACTCCAAAAGTGGCGCCCGGGAGATCTGGGGCTTAATAAACCCTCGAGAGGGTTCCTGTGTGGATGGTGTCAGAATCCCTGCCCCAGCCCCACTGGCCACAGCTCCCCTTGGCTGACGTTCGCACACTTCTGAGGATACCACAGCACACTCTGAACCTTGGCGTAGTCAGACACGCATGTTCACGACCTTCTGGTGTCGGGATAAAGATGGGGGCATCCTATTCCCAACCATCTCCCCTAAAAGTTACTTTGCAATTTTCATTCCCAAAGATACACCCCAGAAGATGCCAGGGCTGTGTTTAAAATCTGCCTCAAGTTATTACATGGTTCATCTCAAGATTCGAATAAGCTTTTCCCAAAACAGACCAGGCTTGTGCTGGGACACGGGACAGACACCTCCTGTCCTTCTCTCTGCCCCTTTCTCAGGGGATCCCCAAGACCACCAGGCCTGTGCCCACCTCTGCTACAAAGAAATTGGTAAGGCAAGTGAGCGCGTTGTCAACCCAAAATAAACCCCAGTGTGAGCGTAAGGATGAGGGTGGTGACCCTGGAGGAGATGTTTGACAAGGGTTATAATGGTGTTTTCTACCCGAGGTCACAAAAACTCCTGTTTTCAGCCCCCCTGAACCTTTGTGTTCCCCTAACACGAATTAATCCTTGGCCTGTATGTTAATGTTGTGACTCCGCACAGCTGACTGATGTACCTGGGTTTCATTTGTGTGTGTGTGTGTGTGTGTGTGTGTGTGTGTGTGTGAGCGTGCACGCGTGTGGGGCAGGGGGAGGGGCGAGGGAGTTATCAGTTTGCTGGCTCCGGGGTTGAGTCCCAGTTACCTTATCCGAGCCCCTCATTTCTCCTTGACGGAGGCTCACACAAGCCGCTTCTGTTTGATTCACATAGAACCGTGAGAAACAGTCTCCTATGTGAGGCCGTGTTTTTCATTCTATTCAGTCTTTGTCTATTCAAATTCTTCTAGTTTCAGCTCTTGCTGTTCTGCCAGATTTCCATGGCATTGATGGCTTCTCTGAATTAATAAGTGTTTTGCAATCGCTGAAAAGTTTTCTCCCCCCAAGCCTGGGACTTATCCATATTGATTTTTTTTTCCCTTTCTCTTTCCTCTCTGGCTACTTCTTAGATGTTGTATTTTGTAAAGTGTTAATAGAATTTTTCTTTCGCCCTGACACTTTATCTATTCAGGAGGTCTTTTGCGGGTCCCATTGTACAGGTGGACTACAGAGGAAAGAGCTCTATTCTTTCCGACAATGCTTGCCCTAAAAACATATACAGATCCTCCCCCACGCTTGCCAGGGTGGAGTGGATGTTGGGAGGGCAGTGTCAAAGAACGTTCGAACTTAGGAAGGAAAAGGGGAGCCAATTACACACTGTTGAAAGGGGGTTTTGAAAATAACATTTTTTAAAAAAATTCAAAACATTTATTTCCTAAGGGAATCGAGTCTCAGTACCAAAACATGGCCAGCACAGAAGGGTGGCTGTTTTCCTTACTGTTAGACATTTTCAGTTCAAAATAAGGACTTGGCAAACATCTTAGAAAATCTGGAGACGGGTGGGAAACAGATGTCACATTTACCTGCACACTGCCCGGCAGGCCTCACCCCTACCCACCCGCACCCCAGGCGTTCGAATTCTCGTCGACTCCCGGGGTCCGAGTCTGAGAGTCCGTATGCTCGAGTGTGACTACTCTGTGTGCAAACACACCAGTTGATCTTACTGGTGGTTTTGCGTGAGTGGTGCCCGGGAGGCAGATCGGCCGTTGCGTGCGTGGCCTCAGCAGGTGCTTGGGGGACTCCAAGCGTGCCCAATCCGGGTTTGTCCTGCCTGGAATGGGCATGGGGCGGTGGCGGCTGGTGAAGAAGCCCCTGTTCAAGTGATCTCCAAACTAGCATGGCCTACTCCCGCCAGCCTGGTGCCCGGGAGAGAGGGAGCAGCTCCCTGCTGGAAGAGTCACCATGCAAGGCCATTTTCCTCCCAGTGACTGACTCCAGAAATGGGCACCAGAATGGGAAGGCCCCAGGAGCCTGTCTGTTCAGGCCTGGTTGCTTAGCAACAATGAAAGGGGGCCATGACTCAAGAAGGGATTTTTCAGCCAGGCCAGTCCCTTTGAGGTTTGTGACTGTCTTGCCTACGCCTGTCTTCCATTCCTACCTTGATTTAGCTCCTCCCCCTGTGTCATTTGATAGCACCTAGAAAAATATACGTGATTTGTCTGGAGGTATCATTTTAAACCTCAGTTTATTGCTGCTCCCAGTGTCCACCCCTCCTTCGGAGACTAATCTGAGAAGAGTAGCGAAGGAATAGCCGACCGTTCCTTTCCCCGGCTGGGTTGGCTGCATTAGCTCAGGCCCCCAAGCGCGTTTGTAAGCCTCTGAGCGCAAATGGACGCACTCGGGCCTTCCCAGCCACATCCACGCACTGCCATTGCTCCCAGGACGGGGCCTCTGGCCCACAGTTGCCTCCACCCACAGCCACATGGGTTGGGTTGTATTCTTACTGCCGACCTTGGGCACAAAGTGAGCAGGCAGCTCACTGGTCAGACAGGTGCTCTCCCCAAGTGGGAAGCTGATGGGCGGGGACAAACACCTGTGCTAAAGATGTGTGATTTGTGGAATAAAGGACTGGATCATAAACACTCATAAAAGGAATGGATTCCAAAGCCAAATCTGGTCCATTAAGTGTGAGTTTTTCTGAGCTCTACGGGGGAGTTGAGTGTGGATCCTAAAATCTTATTGCTAGAAATACCCAAAAGGGTTGCAGGAAGCATGGGAGGTGTCTAGAAGGGATTAGGAAGAGAGACAGAGGGTGCCTTTGATATTTTCTTCTTTTCTTCTCTTTGATGTTTTTGAAAAGGTCCCAACACCAATGTATTAGTTTGCTAGGACTGCCATAACAAAGTCCTGCAGAGGGGCGGGCGGCTGAAACAACAGGAATCTATTTTCTCGCAATTCTGGAGGCTAGAAGTTCGAGATTAAGGTGTGGCAATATTGGTCTTTTTCAGTGGTCTGTCCTTGGCACATAGATGGCCGTCTTTGCCCTGTGTTGGCACACGGTCATCCCTCAGAGCATTTGTGTCCTAATCTCCTCTTCTTACAAAGACCCCAGTAGGGTGGGGCCCACCCTGATGACCTCATTTTAACTTAATTACCTCTTTAAAGACTCTCTCCCCAAATATAGACACATTCTGAGGTACAAGGGGCTAGGGCTTCGACATATGAATTTTGGGGGACACAGTTTAGCTCATAACAATCAAGATGTTAAAGTTCCATTGTTTATAATTGGAAACATTTAAGTATCCAACAGAAGGAGAATAATTAAGTCATCTATGGCTTCTCACCCTGTAAAATAGCACGTGTTGGTCAAGATAGTATTCATGATGTAGTCATCTGGGAATCATTTGCAATAGTGTAATGTTACATGTAAAAAAATAAGAAAAAATGTTATATACTATATGACTTAAACTATATTAAAATAGGCAACTTTTCTTTTTAAGCAGACACTGAAGGGAAATATACCAGATGTTAACCGTAGTTGTGCTGGGTGGAAAGACAAGATTTTTTTTTTCTTTCTACTTTTTTGTATTTTAAAATATTCTTTAATGGACAGCTATTACTTCTGTAATGGAAACCTTCCCTCTGCCCCCGCCCCTGCCTCCCCCCCCCACACACACGGAGCATATAATGTTTTGTGTACTTTGTTAAACTTCCTAAAGCAGCCTTTGTTCTGTCTTTGTGTTGCAGGTGGAGGATGCGATGCTGATGTTTGATAAAACTACCAACAGGCACAGAGGTAAGACTGCCCCAGTGTGAGTAGGTCACCATGACCCCCTCCTGGCGTCCATCTCGTTACCCCAGCCCTACTGACAAATATCCGATAAGGAGTCCAGAATCAAGCGGGTAGAGGTCAAAGATCTATAAGGAGGGCCACAGTCACACAAAGAGCCCCAATACTGGACGGTTAAAAAAGTCCTTTCCTTTTGGCGTGGGAACCCTTGTTTAATTATGCAGCCACACCCAGCACACAGATTTGGGTCTACCTTTCTAATCCTGGTTTTCTTAGTTCATTGCTAACCTCTGCACTAAGTGATCCGAGTGGAAATTTTTCATGGCAATTGTGTTCTCAATTTGCATTGAAGGACGTGGTTTAGGAGCTGTCAGTCTAAAGACCACCTCCACACACACACACAAAAGTCTTGTTGTATGTTTGTTGGATGTGTCCAGTGATTACAGCCTTGGAAATGCACTGTGGCACCTCCGGAATGTTTAGAGAGCATCTGCACGTATTTGCACTTTGTCCCGTGTGCCTCCCGTCCCATCCACGTTACAGAAAATGGGTCTCAACCTGGGGTCCACGAACCTCTGAAATGACATGCAAAATGTCTCATGTTTGCACTTTTCTTGGGTGAGGTTTCCAAGCTTTGAACAGATTCTCAAAGGGGTCTCTGGCCCTCCCCACAAAAAAGAGCACTTTAAAATTACTGCTTTAAACAGAAAAATTGGAGGAATCTAGAAAATCCTCCCCGGGGGTAGTAGAGTCAGAGGAGGTTATGACTTAGTGTTCTGTCCTCCGGAAGCTAGGGTTTCTGGGGTTCCTATTAACAGGGTGTTAATGAGCAGAGCTTCCAAAGGGGGTGGCAGGAAATGGTGTGCTGGTGTTCTCCGGGGAGGGAGCTGGCGAGTGAGCAGTGTTTCCTTGCCACTTGGATTGCATTTAGATGTTTCCTGTGTTGTTTACATTCCTGCTGTCACCTGTGATTAGAAGCAGTTACCCAGTGCTGACTGTATGTCTTTCTGTTTGGAGAAGGCAGTGAGAGGGAGGAAGGAGTGAAGTGGGAATCGTTGCCTGCGGGGAGTGGGAGAAGGAGGGGGATGTCCCCAGCGTGCCTGGTAATCGGCTTCTCATGCATCCGTGTACCATAGACAGCATCCTCGGAATGGGAAAGTTGAGCGTTGGATGGACAGCTGTGACATCAAGTGGTGTTTGTGGGGGGCAGGGGCGGGGAGGGTGGGGAGAAGGGGAAGGCAGGGAGAGAAAAGAAGGGCATGCAGGTGTAGAATGCTGTGTTGCTCAGGAGCGAGAGCCCAGACAGTGAGAGGAAGGCATTGCCCAGCGAGTGATGGGCAATTCGTGGTTATCCTCCATCACCATCCACATCACATTGGTCTAGCTTTATGGGTTCCAAAACACGACTTCCGCGTGCTTCTCCTAATTTGATCTTCACAGCAGTCCCTGGGGGCTTGTTGTGACTCTGGGAGAATCACCGAACTTCTTTATGCCTCAGTTCATGCATCTGTCAAATGGGGGTAATAATAGTCCTTCCTTTTAGGACTGTTTGGAGAATGTCATGCCCAGCCCTTGTCAACTGTGGGTAAATATTGGCTCTTACTATGATCATTATCGTCACCTCCATGTTGTTAGGGGCAAATGATACATCCAAGTTCTGTGTGGGGGCCCCAACCTAGGACTGCTGGTTTCAGATGCTGCTCTTTCTCTGTTGTGTCCAGATACGGCGACTGGTTTGTTAAGAAAGGCATTGTCATCTGTTTATTTTCAGGGTGGGCGATGCCTGTCTGAATGTGGCACCATGTTCAGTGTGAGAATTCATAATCCTGGACAATTCCTGAGCAGCCCGCAGGCAATATTGTTATCCTGTTTTGAAAATCAATTCTCAAAGATATTATTTGATCTTCTCTGTGTCAGGTCCCGTGTTGGGGACTTCCACGGGGATCATCTCATTAACCCCCTCAGACTTCTCAACCCCAGGGACAGCTACCTGTGTGCCCTTGGAGCAGGGAAAGAGGTTTGTCATCTGGGGACCCTGAGAGGGCCAGTGACTTGTTGAGGTCACACACCTATTAACTGGCAGAGGTGGGTTTCTAACTTAGGACTTCAGACTTCCGGGCAAAGCCCTAGAGGATGTGTCAGGAAAAGTTCTGTCTTACTTCTAACCGGATCCCTGCTGCCATGGGTGAAGCCTCTTCCCTTTTCCCAAAGGGGAGGAAGACAGGAAGGTGCTGGGTGCAGGTATCGGGTGGCGTCTGTCTGTGTCTGGCTGAGGGAAGCGTTGTTGCCTGTTGTGGGTGGAGGAAGGTCAGAGTGCTCTGATCTGCCAGAGTTTAAGATACTGTTAGTGGATGCAGGACCAGCCATGTAATTTGCGTAGGGGTGATTAAGAATTTCAAGATGACCACAGAGCATTAAGCCGAGCGGGGGGCCCTTCTCACCACGTTCGTGGGACTGCACCCCCAAGAAGCTGCCTGTGGGGGGCCCTGCCTGATGCTGGTGCGCCGGGGGAAGAGGGGGGTTGGGGGGGGGGTATGCCAGGAAGATTCAACAGGACCCGCCGTCCGCCTGCCCTTTCTTCCCGTCTGGGAACCTCCTGCTCCTAGTCCTCTTTCTGTGTAGGTGAGAGCTTTGGCCTGAACGCATTTTCCAGCCCCTCAAAACAGCTGACAAGGTGTTTCTCTTTGCACTGGGTGCTGAAGCCGGGGTAATACTTTAGTGAATGCAGAGCATTTAAGGGAGTGAAAATTTTAAGAAGAAGAAGAACATATCACAACAGAAGCACAAATCACATATGTGGAGCGAGCGGCCCCACATCCTGGCCTGATGGAGTGTGCATTTGGAATCAGGTGATAAGCACAAGGAAATAAAATCCTCCTGTAGCCACCTGCCCCAACCTACTGTCACCTGCTCAGCTTCCTGCTGTCCATGATCTTATCAGGAGGAAAGTGCTGCAGCAGCAGAAGTCGAGGACACCTCCCTGGCTGGCGCAGCCTCTGGCTCTCTTCTTAAAGAGGTCCGGACCCACACCATTAGCCTTGACGGTGCACAAGCTGGCACTTCTCATCAGACTTCTCAACCCCAGGGACAGCTACCTGTGTGCCCTTGGAGCTGTGACCACTGGGACCTGGGCTGGCCTTCTGCAAATCAGGCAGGCCAAGCTCCCAGGCCACTCAGGCGGCACTTGCCAAAGAGCCAGCAGTCAGGGCAGAATTTCCACTCCTTGTCTCCAGTGGCCACCGCCTGTCCCTGTTCCCTGGTGGTCCCCATTGGGGCGGGGATGACCCTCAGCTCTATCTGCATGTCAGGTTGCCCCTCCTGTCCTGGAGCTCATTTCCTAACCTCTCTGAACATCTCGGGTTCCTCTCTAGGACAAACAAGAACTGGGATTGATGAGCCCAGGACCTGAAGTGTGTGCCTGGCTTTCAGCTTTTTAACCGAGAGTGTGCGGGATGAATTCCTAACTGGGCTGGGAGGAGCAGGTCGGGTTCCCTGGGAAGCGACTCTGAGATGGGATTGGCATGCAGGAGGTTTCTGAGGAAGTGCTCCTGATCAGGAGTGGGCAGAGGGAGAAACTGACCTTTGATGCCCTTCTGAAATGGGGTGGTCTGTCAGTGTCTCCAGCTGGGGTGAGAGTGCCATCCTCCATGCCTCCGAGCTGGCCAGTCCCTGGATGCAGCACCCCTTCCGTCTCACCCCCGAGACTGGCATGGCCTGGGCCTCCACTGAGGAGGTCCTGGAGGGAACCTACAGCTGGGACCATCTTCCAGCAGCGCTCCCAGCAGCTGGGAAAGATGTCCTTCATTCCTGAAGTGGCATCTGGGATCCTGCCGTGGTGGCATCGTGGGCTCTTGCATACCAAGTACTCAGCACAGTGCTTGCATGTACCGTTGAATCTTAAAGACAAATGGCCATGGGTGAATGGAGCCACCCTGAGTCGCACGCTGGTTACAGCAGAGCCTGGACGTCACCCTACCCTGCCTGACCAGGCGCTTAGCTGCTCTGCAAGCATGGTGCTAGGAAAGCAGGGGAGTCGGTGCTCTTAAAGGCTTGAGCATTTCCTCACTTTTTGTCCTTCTCTGCACCAACCCATCTTGCCGGACTACCTCAATCCTCCACTTCCAGATGGAGAAACTGAAGCCCCTAAAGTTCTGGAATGTCGTGTAGCAGGTTCCTGCAGCCAGACAAGGGACCAAGCTGCTGGTAGAAGCTGGAGGCCTTCCTTGGCCCTGCTGGTCACTTCATTTCCTGCCTTCGCCACAAATGTGACTATTTGTGCCCGGGGCGGGGGGATGGTTAGGGGAGAGAATGGTGGCTTTCCAGTTTTCTCAGAGTCATTTCATTTGCTCTCTAAAAGTTGTTAGAGGTGGTCTGAAAAATACTGCGCTCTTTGTCAAAGGATTTAATCACTGGGGGAAGTTTGTTGCTTTATCCTTGCAAAGCTCAGATAAGATCTTGAACCCAGCATTAAGTATTGATCCTGAGGTGGGGCTCAGGGGGAGGGACAGGGAGGGACAAGGCGCTGTCCTTCTGATTTGCTCTTTTGTTGGCAGGAGGCTGGGGAATGGGAGGGTTCCACAGCCAGCTCTCCCTCCACTCTGCCCACACCCTCGCCCGGCACAGAAAGTGGAATGCTGAAATACGTCTCACACTCACCTCCCTATGGGGGAAGGGAGTCCTGAGGTCCCCAACATGAGAGTCAATCTAGGGGAACTCAGCTGGCCTTCCCACTGCTGGGTCCCTCCAGGACGGTTGGGAGCCCAGTGGAAAGCAGACGGGGCGTCCCTGAAGCTTACCGCATGGCCTGGTGAGGGCTGGCTGCAAAGGGAAGGGTTTCTGGCAGGGGACATCCCTATGGCTTCCATTACCCAGCTGCCTGTTTGCCCTTGAACATTGCCAGAGGCAAAGGAACAGGATATACTGAGAGAAAAATAAAGATTAGTGTGATGAATGACTCTTCTCCCAGCAGTTAACAGTTGCTTATTAAGTGCAGCACCACTGGCTTT